TTTTGAAATACAATTTTTTATCTTTTAATTATAGCTTTTTATGTTTGTAAAGCATTACTAATGATTCAGTTCTAATTTTTAAAATGCTTTAAAATTTTTATTACAACAATACCATAAATTTCAGTTATATATAACAAATTATTGTTATTGAACAAAACTTATTTGTATGAATTAATAGATCATAAAAACACTTATTAACATTTTCTTATTAGAAAAATATTCTTTAGTAATGTTTTTATATTTTTCAAGTGTATCATTATATTACACTATAATATCTTTCAAATCAAGAATGTTTAAATTTAAACTTAAAGCTTTTGTTATTGCATAATATTACAATGTACAAATTTTGAAGTCTGCTTGAATTTACAAACATTTATATTGGCCTTACAATACAAAAATATTAGTAACATAAAAAACAAGCCACTTTTTATCTAAAATTGTTATATTTATATTCTCTAATCATAAAATTAAGGATGAAATATCTAAATATTTATACATGTTTCTTGTATTTTATTTAAGTTTAAAAATATTATTAATATATAGTAGAACTTCATATCTTTTGTATTATAATAGATAACAAAAATAACAGCAAAACTTTTAAATCAAAAAAAATTTAACGGGTGGTTGTTTTTAGGAGTTCTTAAAAAAGATTTTGCATTACTTTACATCCTTTTCTTTTCAACAAAAAACTTTTAAAAATTATGTTTGTTATTTTTGAAATCGAAAGAACAAAAGTTAAAATTTTCAAAATTTTTTTTTTAAAATGTAAAAATAATTATTTATTAAGCAATAAATTTCAAATTTTGCCCATGCGCCTCCCAGTGACATATTCCTACCGAAATCAAATCCTCGCGCATAACGAACCGAATTAATATCATTATCATTTGTATTTACGTATTTGGGTTTATATAGTTTCCATAACCTTTTGATATTTTGAGTATGTATAGATACGTCGTCTGTATCTACAAATGAAGCTTATGATTAACATTATAATGTTGATAACCTTGCAAACATAAGTCAAGGTAATCTCTCCAGCTATCTGTCATTATTTTCGCTCCAACATTTACATTTTTAAAAAAATGCATACAAACTTGCTTTTTTTGCCAGCCAAGGATATCAATGGTGACTCGCTTCGTTGTTCTACTTTATACCCCGATATCTTTCACCGGCCAAAGTTCTTCCGCGATAATCTCGCCGTGAACAAATATGAGTTTCATCAGCCTCAACTATATCTTCTTTGTCTCCTAATTTAGGAAACAATACAGTTTAATCAGTATTATCAATTTTATTATGGAATAAATTAATTATTCTGTATACGCATTCTTCAGAAACATCACATTCAAAAATATTGTCAGAAGTCTTAACCCCGAGTGAATGCAGGTACAAAATGCGAATTATCGTTAAAATCTTTACCTTGGCATAGTTAAATATCATGTTTACAAACAAGGATTGGGATTTTCGACACTGGTTATTGTTACATCGAAAACGACAATCAATACCATGCCGTATCTTTCCCTTTTATAAACACTTTACGCTAACACATTCACATGGCGTTAATGTAATATTTAAAAGCCCCAATTCTACAGCAAGAGAAAAAGAATTTGCATTATTTCTGTTCTTCTTGCCAATTTAAAAAGTTTCAATATTTAAGGGCTCAAAATTATTTAAAAAGGAAATTTTGAAAATTTAAATTTCTGTCCCC